TGTGACCCTAGAATTATGTGCCCAACAAAATTCTCTTTCAAAAATGAGGGCAAAATATTTTCAGAAAAATAAAAAGATGAGAGTTTTCCATCAACCTATACCAAAAGAACATTTAAAGGGGTTAGAGAAAAGGGAAAATGACCCCAAAATGTTAGAAATGCAAAATAGACCAATGAATAAAGAATATAGTAAACATGGGCAAATCTAAACTATCATTGACTACAAGAATATTACAATAATAATAATGCATAATTTGTAAAACTAAACAAAGATAATAATTCATAATTTGTAAGAATAAAAGGCTGAGATGAAAATATTGGACAATTATAGGTATATAAACTGAGAACAGGGTAATCAGAATTAAAGTATTGTAGGGCTTTGTATGTACAAAAGAATTCTGATTAACTTTAGACTTTTAAGTTAAATATGCATGTTCAAATCTTAAGGAAATCACTAAAAGAATAGCAAGAGAAGACATAACTTTCACACAAGTTGGAGGTAAAAAGTAAAATGCAAAAGCAATTAATCAAATAATCAAATATAATCAAATCAAAAGAATACAATAAAAAGGGGGAAGAAGAGAAGTGATAAAAAAGGAGAACGAAAAGAAATTTTAAAAATAAGATGGTAGAAATACATCAAGCTATATTATAATTAGAATAAATGTAAAGTATATGAAGCAATGAGAACTCTTGCATAAGACTAGTAGGAATGACACTTGAGAAAACTAATTTAGAAAACAATGAACTAATCGAACAATTAGTTTTTCAGCATATACTATGAGCCAAGCCTTTTATTTGGAGCTGGAAATACAGAAGCAAAAATTTTAGCAATACCTCAAGTAAACTGAAAATAAACTCTTTGATCTCACAGTATTTAAAATAAGTCAAAATTTTTAAAACGTACAGAAATGACAAACTCAAAATCTCCCCTTTTGGGGAGAGGTACACATTAGCAACATCAAAGTTCTGATTCTTAAGTTGGGTGGTGAGTAAATGTGTATTTATTATTCTTTGAATTGTATGTGTATAATATATACATTCTTGTATATGTTTAATATTTTCATGTAAAGAAATAAAAAATAAAAATAATTTTATAAAAAGAGCAAATAAACTGTCTATCATGGAAGGTGCTCAATATATGGTAATTTTTACATTATGTAATAATAAAGTTACACAATGCAATTAACTACAGTGTACATTAATCTAGAGCTAAGCTTAGTAGTAAATGCTTTGTTGAAAGCAAAATTCACTTTAGATGAATACCACATGTCACGTCAGGTAAGCTCTTAAGTTTTAGTTGGAAGCAACATTTTTCATCAAAAAGTAGGTTTCATATGTAAGCAGAGTATATATAGGGAAAAAAGTAAAATAAAAAGTTGGTTCCAATAATTTATTAAATGACTAAGGTCATCTTTTAACCTGAAGCAAAAATAAGTTTGTTAATTAGACAAATAAATGTCCTGAAGTTTTTCTAATGTCTAAATGATGAATTTAAAAAATTACTTTATTACAGTATTAGTCACACATCTTTTAACCTAATACAAAGAACATTTCATTAACTATAATGAGACATTGAGTATGCCATTGCTCACTAAAGTTTTCTTGAAATGTTACAGAAATGGCAAGAGGTAAAAGCAAATATCAGTGAAATGGCATCCGTATCCCAAAGCATCTTCCAGAGGTATAAATATACAGATAGTGCAGAGGTATGATATTTCAATTTCAAGCCAAGCAAGAAATTATATCCCGATCTGCTAAGTTTATAATACATATTTATAAGTTTAATATTAAGCTCAAACAAGACATATACTACTCATAGAAATACTTTGAAGAAACATATCACTACAAATAACTATGCTGGAATAACATCAAAATATCTGTATATTAAATCATTCTCAGAGTATTCATAGAAAGAGGCAAATGTAAATCCATTTTACAGACAAGGAATTAATAAATAACTAGTTCAGTGTTATAGATCACTTTCTAGTATATCTTATAAATTTCTCTACTTAAACCAATAAAATATAAAATACTTCATGACAATGCCACATATATACATATGTCTGAACATAAACATGTTTGCATGTGTATATAAACATGACATTGTCTTGACAGGTAATTACCTTAATCAAATTCTAACCTCTCTGCCTTCCTTAAAAATTGTACTGAGTAGGCTAATTACTGAATAGATTCATAATTAGTAAACATGCTTTCCTTGTGAAATTTCATTAGAACACCAATTTTCACGCTGCCACATGTAATGTGTATAGAAGATAGAAAAATATGTATTATTTTAAATACCTGATCACATTGGCTTTACTTATTACTGAATAGGAATATGTTAAAATGTAATGGACAATAAAGTTGAATCTGTCTACAAAATAGCAACCAAAAGAGAAGAACCTAAACCTTTTTCAAACTGAAGTGATACTGATATTATGACATTAATATGTAACTGCAAAACAAGAAAAGTAGCTTAAGAAAAAATTTGGGTGGATAGATGCTAACGTAGATTTTAGGAAAAAAGTTATTCAGAGAAATATAGTTTCAAACTTTGAAAACAAAGAATGCTCTACTAAATAAAATTAACAAGTCTATCTTGATTAAGAGCAGAAAGGTTGAATTTATATCAAATGTTAGTTTCTTTGATGTAAATCTGCCATTTTACTTTTCCAAAAAAAAATTTTGTTTAGGCTTAAAGGGGAACCAAAAACTGGAATTCTGATTTAATGGCCAAGCAACTCATATTTCTCAGAATCAATACAAATTTAGATTTTCATACCTCTAAGAATATTAATCAGATTAAAAATAATATTATGTGCTAGAAAAATTTAAACCAAGTAAAATAACAAAGTCTTCCAGGTAAAGCAGTTAGCTGGATAAATTTCTCCTTATCCAGAGGACTGGTATTAAATCTTGGATGTTCAGAAATGTATATTAAATCAACATCATTGAATAATTATTCATTTTTAGATATGTAATAGTCATGCTTTTAAATCTCAAACACTCTATTTTTGAAAATGTTACTATTAACTGATTGCAGACTACACATTAGCCAGAACTTATATTTTAGCCACAAACAAACAGAAGCACACGTTACAAAAGATACTCAGGATTTTGAAACTATAAGGGAGACATCTCAAGTAACTAATTAATTGGAAAACTTTATTGAGTACAAACCAGCTATTTAAACATTAGTAGGTAACTACAGGGGCCGTGTCTGTGGTGAAGACACTTATAATTTCATTGATAAAACAAGATAATAGAAAAGATTACAGGGCACCAAAATGTGAAGGTAAGTGCTACTAATGTGCAAAAGAAGGCAATATTGGTCCGAACTGTAATAGCAAAGTCTCAGTGAAGGAGATGGAATTGAATGACAAAGTCCAGGACATGCTGCCTCAAAGTATGGCACTTTGGTGTTTGAGAAAACAGCAGAAGAGGCCGGTAATTCCAGCACTTTGGGAGGCCAAAGCAGGCAGATCACGAGGTCAGGAGTTTAAGATCAGCCTGACCAACATGGTGAAACCCCATCTCTACTAAAAATACAAAAAGTAGCCAGGCACAGTGGTGTGTGTCTGTAATCCCAGCTACTCAGAAGGCTGAGGTAGGAAAATGGCTTGAATCCGGGAGGCGGAGGTCGCAGCGAGCTGAGATTGCACCACTGCACTCCATCCTGGGGCAACAGATCAAGACTCAGTCTCAAAAAAAAAAAAAAAAAAAAAGAAGCAGGAAGTTCTTTCTTACCTTATGTCACCTTTTCTCCCCTGAAGTGGGCCATAAAACCCAGCTGATCCTCCCCTAAAAGTAGACTAAAAGACCCTCATTCCAGAGAGGTCCTCCCCACATCCCAAGGAAAGGAAGTATCTTCAACTCTGAAGACACAGAGATGTTAAGAATCTGAACAAACAGGACTTGCTATGCTCCCCACAGTTTATTACCATTAGATTATACCCTTTTGTGCTCCAATTATACTTCTGTATGACCATCCATAAAAATACGCTTTTCCCAGTTTCTTTGGGTTTTCATTTCTGAAGGCTCTCATGTCATGTAAAACATACATTAAATAAATCTGCATGTTACTTTCTTGTTAATCTTTCTTTTGTTATAGGTGTCTTAGCCATGAATCTACCGATGAGTGAGAAATCTTTTCTACCCTATGTAAGTTAGAATTTAGATAAAATTCAAACTGGCAATGAGAAAGGACTATCATAGGACCAAGCAAAGATATGGATATGGGAGTAAACAGATTCTGTGCTTTATTTTAGCTATGCATTTTTATACTCTTCCTAAAATGTAACAACGCTTTATCTTCAAAAACTGACAGGAAGGTAGAGGTTGTGGACTTTTCAGCAGTATATTCATTTCACATAAAAAAAAAAATGTGGCACATTTTTCCTTTCAGATCCCTGGTTACCTGATAAGAAATACTTTCGAGTGCTTTTCTGCCTTTAATTTTTCTTTTTAAATCATCTTAAGTTTCTTTTACATGAGAGTCTCAATGTTCCACTTTCCCCAGGACTACTTTTAGTGCTTTAGTATATTGCTACCATCTCTCTATATTTAGTAGACATTGGACTATTTTGTTCTTTAAAATGTTGTTTCCCTCTACCTTAAAAAATTTGAATGGACTATTATTGATTCACTTATTGCCATTTTCTATGAAGCCTCATATACTTTGCCATAATTTGTTACATCTTTCTACTGATTCTAGATTATAAAAATCTTATTTGTCTTATTCTCAGAGGAGGAAACTGTTTGATCCAAATGTCAATTTAGTTATAAAAGATTTTATTTCCATTTTGTACTAGTGAACCACCATGAACTACCAAATTCAAATGTGAATTAAATAATTTAAATCTGATCTGCCATTTGTTTAATTGTAAATAAGTAACTTCAAGAAACTAATAACTCCAGTACTTTATTCTCTCAAAGAAGGAGAGTGCTTCTTTCCTGTTTTTGTCTTATGGAAGAAAAATGAAAATTTAGAGGATTTACCATTTCCAGTTTCTCTGCCTTAAGGCGAACAGAGGGATTTAGGGAGAGCTTTTCTTGTAGTCCATAATTTTCAGTCCAGGCAGAAGCAACATCTAAGAGACAACAGGTTGTACATTAATTGGGAACTTAATTGGAATCAAAATTTTCATTTGACAGGATATGTTCTGGGTTCCTGCTGTTCAAAAATAATTCTAGCTAATTGGTTGGCGGCTTTTCGTTTTCTTTTCATAATTTTTTTTTTTTTTTTTTGGAGACAGGGTCTCATTCTGTCACCCAGGCTGGAGTGTAAGGGTATGATCTCGGCTTACCGTCTGCCTCCCGGGTTCAAGCAATTCTCCTGCCTCAGCCTCTCAGGTAGCTGGGATGACAGGCCCATGCCACCATGCCTGGTTAATTTTTATATTTTTAGTAGAGAAAGGGTTTCACTGTGTTGGCCAGGTTGGTCTCAAACTCCTGACCTCAGGTGATCCGCCCACCTTGGCCTCCCAAAGTGCCAGGATTACAGAAGTGAGCCACTGCACCCGGCCAGTTTTCATAATTTTTTTAAGTCCAATTTTTTTTAGATAGACTGGCTTCACTTAAGTCCTAAGATGTAAGAGTGGCCAATTATGCATTGTGAAGTCCCACAGAAATATTAACTTAAAAGACAAACGTACATCCTACCACTACTACATCACCACAATGCCTTAAAGAGACAAAAAGTATTTTTGTTCAAAAACAGTAAAATCGTATTAGATATTTTAAAAGATCATGGTATTTTTTTGACTGGTAAAAGTGTTTTGTGATGTGAATTCTGAAAGTACTCTGGAAAAACCCAAAAATGCAAGTCATTTCAAGTTTGCACATAAAGTATAATATAGATTCTGTACTTGGAGCTAACATCTTATCTCTAAAAGACAGGTCACATTTCAAGTAGCATAAATGAATTTGCAAGAGCTAAAAGTCATACACTTTTTACCCATTTTTCCTACATCTTCTCAATATATCCTTATTATTTAAATGAGCCTTTGTCCTTATTGCATGATTTTAAAAGATGCTACAAAAGACCAGAACTTGAAATACTGTATCAAAGTTTGTAAAACAAATTCCTATAATTCATGTTGATCTTACTATCCAAATTGCCACTATTCTAAATACACTTTTAAATGATATTTTACTAGTTCTACATAGAAACAAGAGGAAGAAGAAAAATCTTTTGAAAATGTCACATCTTTATGCAGTGTTTTAATTTTTTAAAATTTCTCAGAGCATCTGTCTCTAAGTACAAAATGATTTGCATTCTCTTAAGAACATAAGAAGTGCATATGAAAATAAATAGTCTTCCTCTAAACCTTTAACACATCCTTAACATTCTATGTAAAATCTTTAATATAGCTTATAGGTGTCAAGATCATAAAAAATGGTTGCTGACTTTTAGTTTCAAATGGAATTAAACTTTGAAAAAGACTAATTTTAGTATTAAATAGAATTTTTACAATTCTGATAAAAGTAAATCTCCTTTGTAATCATGATGCCTAATTGTTGGCTATGAGATTAAAAATAATATATACATGGTATATATATATACACAAACATACACATATACATATATACACATATATGGGTATGTGTATATATTCCACACATATATATGTAATTCTATATATACATATATGTGTATATATGCATATGTGTGTATGTGTGGGTATATATGTGAGTGTGTATATATGGATATATATGTGTGTGTATATGTAGAAGTATATATATATATACATATACACACACATATAATTTTTGTTTCTCTCCTAAGAGAAATTCTGTGCCAAACCTAAAGTGTAGCATAAAGATCAGCATGGAGTAGAATGATATGTAAGACCAACCAGCAGATAACTATTTTTCATCCTTTAAGGTTTGGACATGTGAAGCTTGCCAATGACTTCCAGCTTGGTGCTTGGTCTGCAATTAAGGCACATTAACACCAGGTGGTCCCAAGTGAACCTTGTTATGATCTCCAAGACTAAACCTGGGCTTGAATTATTCAACTGTTAAGTGTTTAGAAGGGTTGCAGTGGGGAGAACAAGTGGGGGAGAGAGGAATGAGAGAAGGTGAGACAGGAGCACTTACAATATCAACACACTGAGAAATGTGTTCTCACTTACATTTTCCTACATCTAAGCGTTAAAATTTGCTATATCTAACACTGAAAATAACAGAAACTCCTACTTATGCTTACTTCTATCTAAACAGTAAACTATGTACCTATATAAGCTTATTAATCTTCACAATGACCACAGTGACATAGGGGTTATTACTCCCATCCCAAAATAAAAGACCAAGGCCAGAAAAGGTAAAGAAATTAGCCCAGGCCACATAGCTAGTACACGACAATGTTAGGAGTCCAATCTCTTGTGACACCAGGCCAATGTTCTTAAATGTGTTCAACATCTTTCATAATCAGTTTGTCCATCTGTAAATTAGGGGGAATAAACCAGACTGCCTTATAAGAGTTAAAAGGCCAACAATATAATAGAAAACTGCTGTGAAAACTTATAAAGTATTGTTAACATTAACACAGAGATACTCTATTATAAGGAGAGTTAATGTAAAATTATACGAACCTTCAACAATATGCAGTCAGGGCTTAACAAAATCTCGTTTTTTCCAGACAACTTACACCTTTACTTTTGAGTTAAAATCTTAAGAGGGTCTGTGTATAACTCCAGCATACTTTGCCAATTCAGAGTAGCTTTACCTGAAAGCCCCTTCAAAGACAGTTTTCCTCATCTGCCAATGATATCTCTTTATCCCAGCCCTAAGATCTTTATTTGTTCCTCTCTGGGAAAGTTAGTTTTTCTAAGTATGGCCTATTATTCTCTTGGCTCTCCCTCCTTCTTGCCTCCTCCTCCTTTCCTTCCCCCTCCCCCCTCTCCCCTCCTCTCCCTTCCACTTCTTTCAAGATTTGGATAATGTCTGACTTTTGCCAAGAAATTTTTCTTAATTAATTTTTGCATATTGTGACAGATTCCTTATTATATACTAGTTTTTGGGATCAAGGGGAGGACATAAAATTGAATCAAGAATTCAAGATTTTCCTTTTGCTCTATAAATATGACCTAGAATATTATCTGAGCTATACTCTAGGCTATAGCTTCTATATTATTAGTAACAGAAAAATTTGGTAAGCATATATATGCACTAATTACAAAGTAAGTGCTTGACATGCATGATCTTGTTTAATCCTCATAACAACTCCATGTAACTTGTAACTAATTCAAGGTTACAGAGCTAATAAGATAAAAGCAAGAACTTGAACACTGAGTCTGCCTTCAGAGCCTGGTGGTAACCACCACTGTGTCTTTCTTATACCATACTCATATCACTCACTACTTCTTTCCTTAGGTCTCTTTGTTCATATCTTTACATAATTTGTGTAAATGTGTTATTCATTCACAAGAAAGAATGCTTTTTAGAGTAACAAAACCACCCACATCCTGCTCTGATTAACACAGAAAACTGCAAATAGTGGCTACTTGATAAAATAAACACACACATACACATCTATAAACAAATACATGCATATATATTTGGATGTTTTCTAATTTGAATAACTGGAATTTTTAACCCCATGTTTTATTTCACAATATAGTATTAAGTGTCTCACAGAAAATATCCTAATTCCTTCACAATTCCCATTGTACTGTATTCTTCCATATAACATAGTAAATCCTTACTGAATAAATGGTTAAAAGAGGCATTGAGTAGTTCAATTACTTTAAAAATTAAAAAAAGTTATAAAGTATTAATATTGTATAATATAATCAAGGAATAAAGGATTCTGACTTCCATCATCTAGCAACTTTGATCCTCATCTCATGACTGTTGGTTTCATTCATCTATCTTTTTCTTCCCATATGGGTTCCCAGTTTAAAATAAAAACAGTATATCAAGAGACTGGAAATTAATTATGTAAGAGGAATAATGCTAATAAAGTTTCCAAGGGTCGATAAATCTCACTAAGTAAAAGGGACTATAACTCATGGCTGAAGAATGGTATTAACCTAGTGATAAATACCTCCCCAAATTGGAGCAAACTACTATGGAGTATAGTATAAACTCCTGTAAAGATTGTTAGCTATTTAATTTAAATTAATGCTTCCTTATTTTTCAGTTCTTATATCAATAATGTTATCAAAATTAAAATATATAGGTAAAAATTTGCATTATAATTAGGCATATGTAATTAGTTTTTCAGTTATCTTTAATCTTTTTTTCATTGTTGTGTTTTACTTTCGGAATTAATTTCGGGAGACTTTTTCCTGATATCAAGCCTGCAATCCTAATAAAAATCCTTATTTTATGTTTGGCTTACATAATCAATGCTTTATTGTTTTAAAAAGTCAGTAAATCATTTTATGGTAATTAAGAATCAGTAATAATGAACTCACAATACTGATATTCTTTCTAATTTATATCCATATGATGTCTTCCAAAAAAACAAGATACATTTCTTTTCTTAAGGTATGCTCCCTTCTACAATGTGTTTTCTGAAAAGTGTATTTAATATACCTCATCAGTATTGCACTCAAAGGATGTGGCAACCTAATCTTGATCTTAGAGAAGACTTCTCATTATTTCACTTAAACAATTCATTATTATAGCTTCATAAACACTATTATGACAATGCATCTTTTGAAATTTCAACTCTTTGTTCAGGGAAATTTCCAATAAAGTCATACTTTCACAGGGACCAATGGAAAATATATTATTTTTACTTTTTCATTCATTGAAGGAACAAAGACATAATGCACCCTTCTTCAAAGTCTTATTAAGTCACATACGTATTCCTCATTGAGAGAGAATTGAAAAAAATAACAGGAAAGAGAAATTAAATGTGTATTTACCTGTATTAGACAAACCCACAGTACTGTTTTCTGAAGAAGTAATTGGAATCTGTTCTGTTTTGTTGTATCCAGTTTCTATCTGTGAAAGAAAATGAGGAATACACAATGTTATTTACTAAAATAGGTCACCTGAAGCCCGTGTTAAAAAGAATGGTTAAAGAGATTAAGGTAATAGTCCCTCAAATATGAAACTATAAAATTTTGGTATATGCATCTTCGAACAAAGTCATTCAAAATTAAAGGTAACAATTGCTTGCAGCTCTTCCACATCCAAGGATAACAAAATATAAGGCCACACATCCTGTCTTTTCAAAGTATTATAGCTCCAAATGATGAAGTATAAGGGGCTGACAGAAAATCTTACACTCTCTCTCTGTTCAGCATGTACCTGAAACTGAAGTTACCGTTGACAAATTTTATTCAACTGACTAAAAGCCTGATTTTCCTATTTTACAGCTAACACAGATATAAATAATATATACTTTATTCTATAACTGTAATTTTTTAGGACAATATAGCTGTTAGTAATCGAGTGTGTTAATTCTGATATAAAAATTCCCCATTTTGTGTGATTCTGCTTGGAGGAACTATAGCATACACACATGAAGGAGCAGTATCTTTCTAGAGTGGATGCCTGGGATTAGCCTCACTGTGTGGGAAAGAGGCTAAGGAACAACAAAGAAGATAGCCTGACTTCAGTCAAGCAGAGAACAGAAATGGCAAATAACTAAACCAACTGAAACTAAATATGACATTGTTAACATAGTTTTGAGTGATATCTAGGCAAATCTTTGTGGAACCATTTTGTCATGCCAGTATTGTCTAACAAGTCATGCTTCTGGACACAGGACATGCTGATTTAAAATATGTGTACTGAATATACAGCATAAAAAATAGTAAAGAAGAAAATATCTTTCAAAGAAGTATTAATTTGCTAACAATTTTACTGAAATAACAATTCTATATGTACTTACCCAATGTAAAACTATATGGGGGATTTATGGAGTATATATGTAGAGAAATTTAAGATTACATGACTTACCTTACAAGAAGGTAAAATGGCATTGTTAGTTTTGGGAGTGGATGAGGTCTTTGGGGTTAGTAATTCAGGAGGAGACGAAAAAAGACTAAATGCTGAGGCTTGAGGTCTATATTCTCCTGAAGCTTCTACAAGTGATGTACATGACAGATTTTCTGGTTGACTGTTGTCGGATTTTTGTCTTATGAATGCTATCTCCCAAGCAGATTCTGACCTAATATTAAAAAGAAATCATTTTATGGATGTGCTATGAATATACTACAACTGAATTCCAAGATAATGTTTTAAATGTTATTAAAAATATTTCTTATAATCTAAAGCACTTAATACATCTTAAATTACTACTTTCAAGAAGACATCCTAAATGACTCATTCTATCTCATGGATAGTATAGTTACCTCAACTTGGCTCTGGTAATTATGCTTTTTGCTTCTTCGAATGATACACCAATCATAGATTCCTTGTTGACTGAGACAAGTTGATCTCCTGGCTTCAAACGACCATCCTAGCAAAAACAGTAACATTTATAAAGGAACTAATGAGGTATTTAAAAAAATAATAATTGATGCAATTAAAGCAACGAAAAGTTTTTTGTGAAGAAAGAATAAAAACAAAAATATTAGACAACCTCAGAGGCAAAATGTTATGATTAAAGTTTGGCTCGGTAATATACATAAGTAAAATGGCATGGTTTATGTATTCCATGAATAAATTTACATGCTAAATAATTTTGAATATGGTAGGACATAGGCTAGTATACCAGGGGGACCTATTTTAAAAACTGAGCACTATGGGCTGATAAAGCTCTGACTCTGTCATAAAGTGGGCCAAATAACTGTGGGATATTTCAGAATGTAAAACTCATTTAGTTTCTCTGCATTCCTACACATATTTCCTCCTACCAAACTGTTCAATGTGGACTCATCCCACATTGAGATTTTTTTTTTTTGAGACGGAGTTTCACTCATGTTACCCAGGCTGGAGTGCAATGGCGCGGTCTCGGCTCACCGCAACCTCTGCCTCCTGGGTTCAGGCAATTCTCCTGCCTCAGCCTCCTGAGTAGCTGGGATTACAGGCACGCACCACCATGCCCAGCTAATTTTTTGTATTTTTAGTAGAGACGGGGTTTCACCATGTTCAGGATGGTCTCGATCTCTTGACCTCGTGATCCACCCGCCTCGGCCTCCCAAAGTGCTGGGATTACAGGCTTGAGCCACTGCGCCCGGCCTCATATTGAGATTTTTAAAACTTTAGTCAAGGATCTTTCTTAAAAAATTTTTTTAAATTTTCAAAATTTTGCATAGACATGAGGTCTCATTATATTGCCCAGGCTGGCCTCAAACTCCCAGGTTCAAGCCATCCGCCCACCTCAGTATCCCAAACTGTAGGGATTACAGGCGTGAGCAACTGTGCCCAGGCAAGGATTTTAATTACATTGATCCTACTCATATTTCAGCTCATGATCATCTTTTTTTGCTAGACCTGCTATCCTCCATGACGAAGGCCTAGCTGGCGGTGCGTATATTGTTATCCATGTCCTGCTAAGAATGACAATTCTAACTGGCTGCCTGGTGTTGCCTTTGCTAAGGCCCAGCTTGCTCATAACTAGCCTAACTGAATAAGACAGCGTATATCAAGGGCAGCAGTTAATGTAGTTGTTAAGTAAGTTTCCCAGTTTTTGTCTTTTCTTTTAATTCAAACTAGAAAATAAAAATACGCTTCCTTCTTTTACAGTTCCTAAGGTATTTCCCTATTTATCATTAGTACAGTGGTAGAAAGCATTATTTTTATAACTATAGAAAAAGCTTATACGGTTGAAAAGGTAGATTTTCACCTTGATGGTACTCAAGCAATTTTCACAAATTCAAGAAAACATCTTTCCTTAAAGTCTTATCTACTAAAATACATCCCTTGGATATTGATGTTTGACCTAAACTGTATTATTTATAATAATGATGATTCACAGTTATTTTATTCTTAAATTACAATAGGTATTGTTATTTTTAAAAAGATTATTTTACTGGCTAAAGAATACATAGGAAAATAACAAAATAACATAAAACATTCATCAAAGGATTTTATAGAAATATATCTCAACTACTGTGTAAAAGATAATATAATCCAGATGCATAACGACCCTATTCTACTGAAATGTAAACATTTTTTAAAATACTTAAGCCAAAAGAGTCAACTTAATTTTAAAAAACACATAAGCCAGACATGGTGGCTCATATCTGTGCACCCAACACTTGGGGAGACTGAGGCAGGAAGACTGCTTGAGCTTAGGAGTTTAAGGCCAGCCTGGGCAACATAGTTACACCCCATTTAAAAAAAAATAGCTAGTCATGGTAGCACACGTCTACAGTCTCAGTTACTCAGGAGGCTAAAGTCACTTGAGCCCAGGAGGTCAAAGTCATGATTGCGCTACTGCTCTCCAGCCTGGGCAACCAAGCAAGACTCTGTCTCAAAAAAAAACAAACAACAAGAACAAAATATACACATACATATATATATGTAGGTATTTATGTTTTATATATATAAATATATATAATTTAAAAACATCTGGATTTTATGTAAATATGTGATTGAATATAACTGGCAAAGACAAGACAACATAACATGCAGTGTTAGTACACAGTAAAAGCTCACATGAAAGCAATTTAACCCATCTTGTATCAAAGTACACTGATGTATTGAAGTAGCATTTTCTGGCAAGAAGAGAGTCAGATAAGAGAAGAAGAATGGCTTCTGACTGTGACTTCTGGTGTTTATATATTTTTTCTTCCTAAAAAGTATTCATAGCAGTTAGTTTTTTTCTTTGCCTCCTAGAATAAGATCTTAGCTGATCATGTGAATTTCTGAACCTGTTTAAAAGTCAGAACCTGCAAATGAAAACAAAGCTATTTTTGTAAGTCTGGCATTCTAAACGAGTGCATTCTGCCCCAGCTGGATTAATGTATATGTGAACTTCAGAGATATGTTGAGACCTCTTCCACGCAGTCTAGATTCCAATGCAGCAGTTACAGAGCAACTATATGACATGGGAGGCAATGTGTCAGGCATTTTCATATGTTGCACTTTAGATGTGAATTCTTTCACACTGACATTCATGCAGAAGTTGAAAGAATAATATATTCCTGACCACTTAAACACTTCTGTTAAAAACCACCAGTACTATTCATTTCTAATTATGACCTTGGAAGACAGTTTTCTAAATAATACATTTCAATATTAACAGAAACCATCTATACAGCCTGATTCTGATTTAACTAACTCATTATACCTAATACTAAGGAATAGTCTTTTTGCAAGCCTTAAGATTCTTTTCCTATACTTTTACAAGATGCAGACTGATGCTACCTTTATTGTGAACTTAGGCAAGTTGTTTAGCTTTTATGAGACTCTATTTTCTTAGCTGTAGAGTGGAGATAAATACATGCAACACAAGGTTGCTGTAAGAATTAAGTAATATATGCAAATTATAGTACATTACAGGCGTTAAAAAAGAGGAGGTGAATGAGACTTTCATATCTGTTGTGAACAATTGTCATACTGATAGCAAATTTAATTATAATACTCATCAAACTGAGAACCTTCGATGGTTGCCAATTGGCACAAAAAAGTTGAAACTCCTCAATATCTCAAACCCAGCACAACATATTTACTGCAACTTACTTTTTCGAGCTTTACCATTCACCTTCTGCATCAGCATATAAATTCTTCATTCTACTCTCCGAGAGTATGCCTCAAACCAGCCATGGCCTTTTGAACCTCAGTGTTTTCACACATACCAATTCTTATCTAGGATGCCACCATCTACCCTCCCACTTCTCTGTGATAAACTCTGACTTAAACTTCACAGCCCAATTCAAATACTATCCCTGCTGCAAGTTTTCTCCAGTTCCCCAAAATTTACTGAAATGTTCTGTCTCTTTGCTCAAAAAGCACTTTTACTTACCTAAACGATTGCACTTACTCTGTACAGTCCTTATATTTACATATCTGCTTTACCCTGCCCTTGCATTAAGATATAATAAATCAGCATTAAGATATAATAAATCAGCAACTCCCAAACTAGGGGCAATGATTTTCTTAATGGACCAGAATCACTGATTCTTTCATTTACCCAGAGCTAGAACTCTGTCCTTTTCATGATTGGTTCCCTGGCACAGTGCTAGGTACCTAGTAAGTCCACAATAGGTTAAAGGGAGCCAAGAAACAGTCTGAGGAAATTAGGGTAGCTATGACAGAAATAATAATGGCAAAGGAATAAAGAGAGTGACACTGCAAAGTGAACCATTTTGGCTGCTACTTCTTCAGCTCCCACCAGTGGGACTGGTTTCTTCATAGTCTGCCATCCAGAGGCCTGATCTTGCTATTTATCTAAAAGCCTTGGCCCAGGTTCCAGTGCTATGCTCAGCATAAAAATAGATCTCCTCTGAAAGTTAAATGTGTCCTACTTCAATCATTGGTGAACAATTACTAGCCATTAGCATCTATAACCATGTGATCTTTTTCTCACCTATAGGGCTTGACAAAAGAAGTCCTGAATTTATCAAATTTAAGATGCCACTAATTGTAAGAAATCATTACTTTATGTAGCATTGAGAGGAAAAACAGCCACCAATTACATGACGACATTGACTGTGAGACCTCTAATTTCAGAGGGAGAAGAGGAAATATTACATATACACACACACTCAGGAATATATTACATATCTATATACACATGATTTATATATATATATGTGTGCATGCATAACTTACATGTATATGTTTTAGTGTATGTCTTAGGACCAAATAAAAAATACATAAAATATATGATCAGATTTTAAGTGAGGCTTTTGATTTATCTGCTTTCCCTATGTTACCAACAACAAAAGAAAGAAATAAAAATAAACATTTGAGAATTTTAAAGTGTTGTCAAAAATCTGACACACTTTAAAGGTCCAGGAAGGAAGTACCTTGGTGTGGAGCCCAAATGGTGTCAATGGAAGGGTAAATAGGCAGATCAGTAATCTTCAGAAATGTGACAGAATGACTATGGGACCATTCATCCATAAATATAAATTGAGCAAGTATGTATGTGTCAGGCACCACACTGGGGACTAACAATAATATTGTGAATAAAATTGGATCGCATCCTTAAGAAACATACTGTGGTTCAGGAAGATTTGATTAAACAATCTTAAATATATCATTACAACTGAGATAGGTGACAAAAAGGAAAGGAATGGAATTTAGAGGCACATATAGAAAAAATGAAACTTAGCTTAGACTGGGGGAAAAGCAGGGAACACAATCCTTAGGCAGTAGTCTTTGAATTGATATCTGGAAATAATGGGGGAAAGAAAATGGAGTGCTGTTTCCAGACTAAGGGAACAGCATATGAGATGAAAAAAAAAAAAAAAATGGCCCCTTCTAGGAACTGAGAAAATGCTGCTCTGGAAGCATAGGGATGGAGAGTCAGAGGAGGAGAGGGCAGAAGCCACACTCCATAGAACCTTGTAGGCAACCAAGTATTAGTAATATGGGTTGGGAGGGAAATAGGTATGGTGCATAAGAACAAATGATGCTACTGAGAGGGCTGATAAAAACTGATGACAGTTTAAGCTCCAACGATGAGAATGAAGATCAAAAAACTGATGAGTTCAAGAGATATTTAGAGAGTAAAAAAGTCAACAATACATGCTAATGATTTAAGTAGTGTTATGGGAGTGGAAATAGGAAGCTGTTAAATTTTCTGACTTTGTGTAGCTGGAAGCTGTCATTCACCAAGACTAGGTAAACTGGAAGAGACTCTGTTTGGGAGGAGATAAGCAGAATACAGTGTGATGTGAATGTTGTGAGTTCTGCTTCAGAAATGTTGAGTTTGAGATGCCTTTAAGAGATCCAAGTAAAAATGTTGTTCAGGGAATTGAATGTTGGTATGAAGCTTAAAGGAGTGTCCAAGTCAGAAAAAGGGTCAAACATTGACCCCAGACGGATATGGGACTAGCTGACAGGATGAAAGGGCCTTGGAGTTCTCTTATTTCCTTAACTTAGCAACTAATATAGTTGTTTTCAATTTATAGGATGCCTCTAGCTCTTAGAGCTGAGGGAATCTTGGTTCTACTTGAACTGGAAAGATGTATTCATAATATCCCATATTTGAACTATAGATATGTTTTTCAAAGAACATAGTATTTTGCATAGTCCAGTATTTTATTCTCATATTTTCCAGGAGGAAAACATTTAGGGTGGGTGGTGGCAAACCATGAATAATTAAAGAAAATTCCTTCTGAGTGCCAATAACTCCCTTACGGTTAGAGGTATTTGAAAACATAAATAAAATATGATCTTGCTATAAGCTTGATATTGCCTATATTGTTAATTCTGAAACATTATAATGTTAAAACAAAATCACAGAAAGTTAAAGCATTCACATGCATTTAAAAAATATTAACAATTAGTTCAACAACTATATTAGGATAACCTTATGAGTTTGTGTTTCCTATTCTACAAATTCTACTATGTAGAAATTTTGTGCAGAAAATTCTACTATGTAGAAATTTTGTGCAGACTAGAAATTTATTAACATGTTAAAACAGTATTTAGAATACAGTAAAGGTGTTATTAATACATTGTTTTGAAATAAAGTTAAATCAATTTTGTATCTGAAGAATAAATATGCATATGCATAGAGTGCTCCATCTTTAGAAAATATTTTAAAATAATGTAAGCACTAGAAAATTACTTCTTCTTGTACACATTTTTTTATTTTTTAGAGACACTCTATTGGCCAGGCTGGGGTGTAGTGATGTAATCATAGCTCACTGAAACCTGCAACTCCTGGGCTCAAGGGGTCCTCCTGCCCTGGCTTCCAAAAGTACTGGGATTACAGGAATGAGCCATCATCCCTGGTACTCCTCTCTTAAACTTTTTTCTATCTTGCCTGTTTCCTTTTGTCAATCTTAAAACCAGCTACGGAGAACATTAATAGCCCTGTGCTGCCCTCTAGTGGTAAGTAGAGGATATAGTCAATTAGAAGATTTTGCCTTTTAATACTTCTTTCAATGACATTCTAACAAGAAAAAGTAGACATCATAAGAAAAATTTCTTAATCTGCTATCACTGACAGAAGATAAAGAGCTATTTAGCACCACAGCTATCAATTTATTACTCTAACTCCAAATATTTTTCATGGTAATAAACAAGTACGAATTGATGTTTGTCTTAAAAGCAAATTCTTAGGCCAGGCTCAGTGGCTCAATCCTGTAATCCCAGCACTTTGGGAGGCTGAGGTGGGCAGATTACCTGAGGTCGGGAGTTCGAGACCAGCCTGGCCAACATGGTGAAACCCCATCTCTACTAAAAATACAAAAATTAGCTAGGAGTTTTGGCACACGCCTGTAATCCCAGCTACTCAGGAAGCAGAGGTGGGAGAATTGCTTGAACCTGGGAGACGGAGGTTGCAGTGAGCAGAGATGGTGCCACTGCACTCCAGCCTGGATGATAGAGCAAGAGCCTGTCTCAAAATTTTTATATATATATATACACACACACACACACACACACACACACACACACACATATACATATATGTATAATTTATAATATATTATTTAGTAATTTCAATATAATGGTATAATTTTTGGCAATTAAATTTAAATTGTTACTCAAGAACATTTTTAAAAGCTAAATTTAAACAAATTCAAACCAACAGAAAAATGAATTTTTTCTTCTAAGAATTGAGGCATTACCTTAGTGTTAAAGCTGGGTGTGTGTGTGTGTGTGTTTGTGTGTGTGTGTTCAATATAGCTAGGGCATTTCTTAAACTACACTTAATATGATGCAGTAATAGATCAAGGTACCTAACAAGTGATAAGAATTTGCTTTTTTTTTTTTTTTTTGGAGACAAGAGTCTCACTCTGTTGCCCAGGTTAGAGTGTAGTGGTACGATCATGCCTCACTGCAACCTTGATCTTCGGGGCCCAAGCAATACTCAGCCTCCAAGCAGCCGGACTACAGGCAAGTAGCTGGACTACAAGCATGTACCACCAAACCTGGCTGATTTTTAAAAAAAATTTTAATAGCGTTCAAGTCTCACTGTGTTGCCCAGGCTGTTGTTCTCAAATTCCTGAGCTCAAGAAATCTTCCTGTCTCTGCCTCCCCAAAGCTGAGATTACAGGCATGAGCCACCATGCCTGGCCTATATAACACTTAGAACTTAGAAGGTATATTTAGAAGATGCCTTATTATCTGAACAAGCCTGAAACACTTGAAATTACTACAACTATTTTGGAAGTTACTTTTCAAATGGAATTTTTCCCTAATAAGACAAAAAAATCCAGTTGAAAAGATAACTGCTTACTTAACAAGTGTTTGCAGTGGTGGGAGAGAAATACGGATGGTGGGTAAAAGTAGTAGAACTATTTATTTAACCAAATAAGAACAAAATAGTAAGAGGATCCTTTCTCATGCTGTATAGCTTGATATTTACAGATATTTTATTAATTTTATTCTTAACATAATTTTATTAAATTCTTTATATTTGATGTCTCTCCAAATCAAATGGAAGCAATTTTCAGAAAAATGACACATAATCACTTTAGTAAAACCGAAATAGCAAGTGAGACCCAAGAAGAATGAGAATTCAAATATAGTAACCAGTTTGTTAAATTGCTGGGGTTGTGCTTCAAATTTGGGTCTGAGCTTCCTACCAACCAAAGTGAAAGGAAGCTCATTATATAACATATTTTTTACTTTGAAGAGGAGAGTAAGACTTTCTAATTCCTAAAAATAGATATTTTCTGGTTTTAAGTCTAAATCTAATTTCAATGGGGATTCTAATTTAAGTCTAAATCTAATTTCTCATGTGGGCAGCTAATGAGTGGTAAAACTCATTAGCTCAATAAGAGCTGCGAATTCAGAAATTAGTAGATTTTGTTTGCTGTTTTTGTTCTGTTTTGCATTTAGTAGAGGCTAAATTAATGTAGTTCAAGTTCTACTGATCCAACTTAATAAAAACTCAAAGTAGTAGAAAGACAATATTTCATCAAATATAATTTCTCTCAACCAGAAACAGGATAAAAGTGAACCGCAAATAATTTTAAAATAATAATCTTATTTTACAGTCAGAAATATATATTATTTTCATATAAGAAGATCCTAATTATCTCTTAGTTTAAAGCTCCTTGAGAGCCATAGTCTTATCTTCTAGTTCCTTGGTATTTTTCACTTAGGTTTGATCACAGTGGATATAAATTCACTAATAAAGTAGAAAAAATGAACTTCACCACTGGTGGGTCGTTTTGGTTTGTATTTTTGGTGGGCAGGGGGTGTATTTTTACCTTGTAGCAGTCTCCTCCAGGAATAATTTCCTGAATATATACCAACGGGCCTTCATTCCGGTTAATTCCTCCTACTATCTTCAGGCCAAGGCCTGTTTCCTTGTTAATTGTAATCATCTGAAAGGCAGGATCCCTAAAATAAATTAGCACACACAGGTTAGTGTAGAGATCTGTACCTATTTTTTTCTTTAAACTACTTATTAAATCAAATTCTTAGATCTAGACCAGTGGCCCCTAACCTTTTTGGCACCAGGGACTTGTTTAGTGTAAGACAATTTTTCCACAGCTGGTGGGGTGGGTGTAGGGGCGCAGACGAGGGATGGTTTCGGGATGATTCAAGTGCACTACATTTATTGTGCACTTTATTATTACATTGTAATATATAATAATTATACAACTCACAACAATGTAGAATCAGGGGGAGCCTTGAGCTTGTGTTCCTGCAACTAGATAGTCCCATCTGGGGGTGAGAGGAGACAGTGACAGATCATCAGCCATTAGATTCTGATAAGAAGCAGCAACCTAGATCCCTCATATGCACAGTTCACAATGGGTTCATGCTCCTATGAGAATCTAATGCCACCAATGATCTGACAGGAGGATGATCTCAGGCTGTAATTCTCACTTGCCCTACGCTCACATCCTGCTGTGTGGCCTGGTTCCTAACGGACTAAGGACCACTACCAGTCTGAGGCCCAGGGGTTGAGGACCCCTGACCTACACAATCCAAAATACTTAGTACTTACTAGCAATGATATTTTTTAAAGTATGGTGATGTAATAACAATTAAATGAATTTTCTTGCCTGTACTTACAATCTTCTCTACAAAACAACCAAAACACAAATGAATTTACAATGATAATCTTATTTCTTTGAAGTAGAACAAAAATTTATTAAACATACTGAAAAGATTTGTTTTTACCTGATTATTAGACTACTTGAAGAATTCTAATACTAAATATTTTAATGAATTAGGTAAGTAGCTTTAAAAGACATGTCTGTGGCCATTTAAAACAAAATAAATATGACTTCCATTTGAGTCTCAAATAAAATTTATCTTTTTAATTTAGAAAGAGTATTTTCTTGGTACAAAGTACTTGTTTCAACTGTAATTTCTGCCAGACAAAACAAAGCCATTTGAAAAGAAGGGACTGTCAAAAAATTCCTGCAAAAGTCATTGGATTCAAGTCGCACTTCTGAATATCCTGGTCAGAGCAGAGATTTTACCGGTCAAACAAAACTGGAATTAAATTTGAAATAAGACTTAGGAGCTGCATGTTTACTTATTATGTACTGGGTACTGTCCTAAACAGTGCCTAAATAATGACATTTAATTTAATATTTACAAAATCCTTAATATTCTTAACCTTATTATTCTAAAAGACCCAAAATTCAGGTAGGTTAATTTGGTGGCCCAAGTGTGAGGCCAGTCAGTCTTACTTCAGAGGCAAAATGTGATATGTATTCTATTTTGTTGTTGTATTAGTCATTGTTGAACATAGGACTTTCAGCTATCTTCAAACACATTGAATAACTGAAACTACTATTAAAAAAAGAGTTACTTCATATCTTACATGATTATAGCTTTTAGGAAAAGTCTTCTTAGCTTCTGTCATAGAAATTCTAAGAATATCATTAAGAATACTATTGCATTCAAAAAAAATAATTTCTAAAAATAAAGAAATTTTTAAAAACATATAAAACTCCCTGTTTTTGAATATTTTGCTCTCCATATATAACATCATTTAGAGCTGCATTACAGGTATACTGAATTCAGCTCTAATTTGGAAAGGCCTATCTGGTTTCTCGGGCAACAATCAATTAGAAAAATGGCAGAGAGCACAGGGTCCAAGGGTCCAAAATGCTCTACTCATGTGGATTTCTGTACCTTAAATCCATTCTTTCTTCTTTTTGTTGTTTTTTTTGTTTTTTTTTGAGACAGGGTCTTGCTCTGTCCCAGCTGGAGTGCAGTGGCATGATCTCAGCTTACTGTAACCTCCGCCTCCCAAGTTAAGTGATTCTCCTACCACAGCCTCCTGAGTAGCTGGGATTACAGGTATATGCCACCATGCCCAGCTAATTTTTTTTTTTTTGGTAGACACAGGATTTTACCATGTTGGCAAGTCTGGTCTTGAACTCCTGACCTGAAGTGATCCACCCGCCCTGGCCTCCTAAAGTGCTGGGATTACAGGCATGAGCCACCGAGCCTGGCCAATAAACCCATTCTTTATGGGACAGTAGATTGCAAAAACAAACGAGTAAAGCCTAGAAATCAAAGAGAAGGTAAGAAAGGGAAGTAAGGTACCTCATTAGATCTCTCCACTAACTCTTACATCCTCCAAATGTGAATGCCCTTCACTAGGAGCACAATCTCCAGCATGTATTATTGCTTCAGTACAGAAGCACTTTTCTAATCCCAACAAAGTGTTATTAACATAGCAGTTTATTGCTTCTAATATTTTTTCCTATATAAATCCATCCATATATTTTCTGAATTGATATTCATATATTTTCTGAATTGCTATCGTACTACTTAAACAGTTTTAGAACCTGTTTTATTATTGTAAGCAATGTCTATGTTGTTAAAAGTTCTTCTTAAAAATAAATTTATATGTTCATGGCAGCATAAAATTTACATACACAGCTCGGACTTTAAGACTCTCCTATTGTTAAAAATTTAGATTACCTACTCTTTTTCCCTATTACATATTAAAAATATTTCTGATCAACTTTATTCATAATAAGAGAATTACAAGTTAAAACTATGTAGAGGTACTACTACTCACCTACCAGATCAATAAAAATTTAAAACTTTAACAACATACCCTGATGACAAAGCTGTGGGAAAAGAGGCATTTTTTGCATACTGCTGGTGGGAATGCAAAATGGTACAACTTCTAAAGAGATAAATTGGTAACCTCTAACAAAAATGACCCTCTGATCCAGCGATTCCATTTCTAGAAATCTATCTCAAAGATACTCTGGCAAAAAATAGAAAATGACTTATATACTAGGTTATTCATTTTGACATAATTTGTATTCACCAAAAATTGCAAACAATACAAATGCCCATCCATAAGGTACTGGCTTGAATAAACTATGGTACATCCACACCATAGAATATTATGCAGTTATAACAAAAAACAAGGAAGATCTTTATAAACTGATATGAAGGGATCACCAGGATATATGTTAAAACAAAAAGGCAAGGTGAAAACAATATAAATGATACCTTTTAAGAATATTCCGGGGAGTAGAATCCAAATATATATAATTATTATGTGTACATATATTATATGTGGGTGTGGGTGTGTGTGTATATATATATATATATATATATATATATATATATGTATGTGTATATATATATATATGTATGTATATATATACATATGCATTTGCTTAAGCAGAAAGAACTACAAAAGGACCAAGAATAAAAACAACTTTTTACAGACAGAATGAGGGCACAGAGTGAAGACTAGAATAAGAGCAAGATTTTTTTGAATATACCTTGTTAAACCTATGTTTTATGTTTGCAAAATTCCTCCCATTCCTGTCTACATGCATCTTGGTAATGTGACTTTACTGCTTCTTTTCATTAAAAGCAAAGTGTATATCTCCACTCCTTGAATTTTTATTTGTCTATTTAAATTGCTTTGGCCAATGGGATACCAGCAAATGTGAGAAAAATGGATGTTTAGAAAACACCTGTGCTTCTGCCACCATGTCAAAGCTTGAGCTAGCCCCCTGCAGAATGAGAGACCAGTTCAAAAGAGACCTCAGTCATCCAGCCTTCCTAGCTGAGGCCTCACAAGATGTAAATTAGGCCATCCTACATTATCTGGTATAGAGCAGAACTGCTCAGCTAACCCACTGAATCATGAGAAAGAATAAATTCTTACTGTTTTAAGGGACTTTAGGGTGGTTTGTTGGTCAGCAAGAGCTAATCTTATATTATGAATTTTGTTTCTGGAATTATAAAATATTCTAGATATTAAAAAGCCAAAATTTAAAAAATACAGATTTTGTCCCATACATTGATTTACACTGAAAGGTAATTCAATGTATTACTTTACTCACTACTCATTATTGCTATTCTAGACCACATTAGACAGCTAGATTTAAAAAAAAACTTTTAATCAAATGTTCATTAACAGTCTACATATTTCCAACTATATTTCAAAACATATTAAATTTAAAAATTACTTTTCAAGTAGACTGGGTGATATGACAGTAGATGTATTTTTATTCATGCTTTCACCAAAGTAGCCTTGGATTTAACAGCTGTATAAATGAAGATCTTGATGAAGAGTCTAGAAATTCTTCTTTTCCTAGGATTAGAGAAGTAGAAAATAAATTGTCAGGTCTTAGAACTGTCAAATTTGATTCCAACTGTTCATAAAAACATTATATATACTTAGCACATAAATAATATAAGCCTATGTATAGATGTTAGATGTATGTATTTTGAGTATGGCATTTTAGTCATTGATGATTACATCTAAGAAATGTAAAGACAGCTCATTAGGTCTATGTCTATATCATATGAATATCCCTAACTATATAACATCTTCATTCTCTGGCAAAAATGAAGAATATAGCTAAGCTTTATGTAACTATTATAACTTCGACCCTTGGTAAACTTAAAAATCACATCATAATTAAAGATTGTGGAAAATGTCTCCTGTGAGCACAAGGCAATCAAGCTTATAGTCAGAAAAATAATTATCCAGTGCATTTGAAAAAAACTAAATTCTTATTACCTTACCAACTATCTTGAGGTATTTTCTGCAGATCCTATATTACTCTAATTTATTCCAGGAATTTCTTAAATGCTTTCCTGTGAAGAGAAAAAAATATGCTTTTAATGTCTTACATAGTTCCACTGTGAAAATTACAGAGAACAGTGTGCAGTTTCATTTAATTAAAACAAACGGTATTTGAACAGAGATTTACCACCTTTTCATAAGAAAAATGAATGAAGCAAAGGAACTTAAAGTTGAAAATGATACTAGGATCATTTAGTACAACTCTCTCTCTCTGCAGAAATGAGGAGCTAGATTCAGAGATTTTGTGCTTTTCCCTCACAAATAAGAAATAGTGTTTTTTTTTTTTTGTTTTTGTTTTTTTTTCTTCTCCTAACCAGAACTCAGGCTTTGTAGCCTACTGAATGGACCTTGAGATCTCATAGGCCTGGGTTCCCACTTGAACTTTTGGGCTTCTCCAAGCCTCGGCTTCTACAGGTACAGTAGGTACCTTGTTTGTGGTGATGATTTCACAAATGGATACACATGTTAAATGTAACACATTGTCTCACTTTAAATATCTGCTGTTTGTTTTAAATCAGTTATAGCTTAATAATCTTGAACTTTTAAAAAACCTGATTTCAGTTAAAAATGGCATCTTGATCTTAGCACATATCTCCTTTCCCTCCCAAGAGCCAAGTATATGAGACTATTAAAGAGCTACAAACAGTATAAACTTAGAATATTGAAAAGATGGGAAAAGAGCCATCAGATGAAGATTTTGAACTAGTTTCTGGAAGATAAATAGATGGTTGGGTGATAATTGGTAAAAGAGTGCTAAAGAAGCTGAAATTTAGGGCAGTACTTCTTAAACATTTTTAAGTTTGAGCACACACATAATGGTAATCTTTAGCTTAGTATACTAAGCTAAAGAAAGGTGACATCCTCTGAGAAGCTGAGGAGAATCAATATATCAGCACACGAGCAACTGACTCACAACAAAATTCTGGCCTAGGAAACAGGTGCAGAAGGAATGTGTCTTAAAGAATCCCAGAGAAACTAGGACTCAGAAACAAAAAGTTCTAGGGAGAACAAAACTGAGAGATTGAGGACTAAAATCAAGAGGATCATACTATCTTTTCTCCAACCATTGTATAGAGAAGAAATCATAGATTCGTCTGTAAATGAACTGAATGGACCCCAAACAGAGAGCCAATCACCTTTGAGAGCCTAACATAGAGACATATTCACTGGTCTCGGTGGTAAAAACATTTCAACTTTCACAGCCTCTGTTGTAGCAACAGCAACAGTGGAAGCATGCAGATCAACAGCAGCCAGAGAAATGAAGCTACCAAGCAACAAAGTCAGTAGCAAAAGTCCAATGACCATGAAGCAAGAAAGTTACTCAGTATCCCATGAGGAAAAGAAGGGCCACTTGAGGGAGGAGCTTAAAATTCTTGGGCTTTGCATGGTAGTCCCTCAGAGTGAAGAGCCACTGCAGCTGTCCACGAGACTGATGTAGTCATGGATGAGAGTTCAATTCTAAAACTAAGTTTGCATAAGTTCATTATACATTGCTTTAACAATACATGCATGGAGCAGATTCTCAAACCTCAAGAGAGGTCATTCTCATATAACAATAATAGTAGTAACTACCATTAATTGGCACTATGTTTCACATACAATGTATTCCAAATATATTTATTTAACATTGTGGAAAATGTAGAAGACATAAGAAAAAAAGAAGAAATGCAGAATTCAAATGCTAATACTGCCATGTGCTAGTAATATGGCATTAGAAAAATTGCCTAAGCTGTTAGCATCTCCTCGTATTAAGGTAGGGATAGTAACAACTTGCTCAAAGGCAGATGTGAATAATTGAGCAGCCTTTCTACTGGTATCAAAGTGAGTAAGATCCTCATCTTTGGTGAGTTGTTTTAACTGGACACAGGGTCCCTAGGCCTCCTGGGAACATACCCAAGTCTAATGATGTATAAATGCTACTTTACAATAGATTCCATATAATATACTTAACAAGACATTTTAAAACATTTCTATTTCGAGGTATAAAATAAAATTTAGGTGTGTATTCCATTCATTTAGCATGCTGGCAGTGTCCTAAGTGCTGGAGATGAGATCAGGAGGGGGTGAAGTGCTCTGACAGCGGTATGCACAGGGAGTATGGAGAAAGGCTGCCTAACCTGGGATCTAGGTCATCATTAAACAGCAATATAGCCAGGCACCATGTTACAGGATTTTCTTCCCATAGGAGCCCCACAAGGGAGGTATTATTAAACCAATTTTAAACGAAAGAAAAATAAGTCATAGAGAAAGTATGTGACTTGTCTATTGTCACAGGCTAGTTGTAAATTAGAATTTGAATCCTGCTCTTTCTTGCTCCAAACCCAAGTTGTTTCTACTATAGTATGCTGAAAAATTAATTTAGGTAAAAAGCTTGATTAACCAAAAAAGTAGAATGAGAGAGTAAGAGTAGTAGTGTGTTATCTCTTCTGTATAAAGATGGCACTATTGATTAAATAGAAGTGGGTTTAATCCTAAGCAGGCTTGTTTTTTATATTAACAAGGTATTCATTGTCATGTCCTTAAATATCATAAAACGCCTGTCATTTCCCTCTCCTTTGCCTGTTTCCTACTCTCTTTATACAAGCTGGCAAGGCTCTCAACCAACAAGGATTCTAGTAATGTTACATACACATACTTCACACACTCACTCACACACATACACACACACACACACCACCCCCAAGTTCCTATAATTAATGAATAACACAGAAAGAAAACATTCTGTTCTTTTACTAAAAATATTCACATTCAAGACAAATATATTGTTTTTCTAGTTTGGTGAATCATAAGAGGGAAACAGATCAGCAAAAACAGAAAAAGTGGAACACTGGAGGAAAAAAAATCTTGTTGTGTAAGATGAATCTATTCCAGAAAACTTAAATTAGAGCTTTTCTTTGATAGTCTGTTTACTTATGATCTCATTAAAACAATTTTCATCCCATATAATTAGAAATTTCATCAGATTAAAAAAAAAAAAAAACTGCCCATGTGCATATGGTGTTTGAGTAAGACTTAGTAATTTATATTATCAGACATGACATTCAATCAAACCAGTTCTTTCCATTGGACAAAAAATAGAGAAAATTAAAGGGATAAAATATCTTCTGCCAGAATTATAGTAAATATTAATTTAATAAAATTATAAAAATGCCACAATGAAATTGATAGAAATGGCCAAATTTCCCTCAGTCAGGGTTGTACTAATTTATTATCCCACCAATAATAATGCCTGTTACTCTAAATTTTCTCCAGTATGGCATACCAAATAACTTCTGGATTTTTGCCAGTTTTGATGAAAATGATATCTCAAAGTAGTTGGAGTGAGGCTGGAGTTTTTTATGCTTTAAAAACCATTCAGTATCTCCTTTTATGTGAACTGTGTTTTTTACATCTTTTGCCAGTTCTTCTATTCATCATTAGGCTTTTTTCTGTTCAATTTCTAGTTCTTAAATCTTAACAGAAATTATCTCTTAATCAGCACTAAGAATTGCAAATATATTTCTCCCCCATTTCTTCGGGGTTATGGGCTTTTTGTTATGCAAAAGTTTGTGGCTAACTTTATGAATCTTTTATGATTTCCAGGTTTTAGGTAAAATTAGAAACTCCTTGCTCACTCCAAAGTTATAAAGATTTCTCTCATATTTTCTTCTAGTATTTTTATGATTTCATTTTTAAACATTTGATCCAATTGGAGTCCATTGTAATATAAAGTACAGATCCAACTCATATTTTTCCCAAGAAGATCACCCCATTGTCTCAATCACATTTAATAAATAATCCATCTTTTCTCCATTTTGAGATATGACTTTCATCACATACCAAATCTCATAAGTGTTTGGGTCTACTTCTGTAATTTTTATTCTGGCCCTTTGGTTAGTTTGTTTATTCATACACCAATGCCATTCTATTTTAATTAGAGAGGTACTATCATAACTGGTAAGACCAATCACCTCTCATTTGTTCTTCTGTTAACCAAGCTTCCTTGGTTGTTTATTGTTACATATTAAATTCAAAATATTATTATCTTGTTTAAAAAATAAAACAATGCTATTTGTTAGGGAATCGCACTAAATTTACAAATTAATTGAAGAAGTATTGGTATTTATGACGTTATTTTGAGTCTTCCTAACCAAGAATTTGGTATCACTATTTGTTCAAATCTTCTTTCATGACCTTCTATAGTAGAAGTGGTCAATCTTTTGGCTTTCCTAGGCCTCAGTGGAGAAGAAGAATTGTCTTAGGCCACACATAAAATACACTAAACACTAACGATGAGGAAAAAAAAAAAAAAAAAAAAGCAAAAAAACTCATAATGTTTTAAGAAAGTTTACGAATTTGTTTTGGAACACATTTAAAGCTGTCCTGGGCCACATGCAGCCCATGGGCGACAGGTGGGACAAGCTCGTTCTATAGTGTTTTAAAGTTGCCTTCCCAGTGACCTTGTAGGCAGGAGACTAGGATCTGGAGGCAGGGAACCTAAGGTTGATTTGTGCTGACTTCCTAGAACTGAATCAAAAGGAAAACCCTACCTCTCCACAATAGGATCAGAGAGTACTCCTTTTGCGCTGCATGGTAGATGAAAAATGGAAAGTACTTCTCATTGATCGAAGGCCACTCTTTCATTTACATAGGGTATAACCAAGCAAACAATGTTAAACCTCTAGAGGAAATTTAAACTCCAGAAAATTCTGTAACCAGTGCTCTTGAGCCACTTGTTCCAGTCTAATCCCACTGTGTGGAGAGTACTTTCCTTTCAGTAAATGTATACTTTGTTTCCTTTTTTCATTGCTTTGTTTGTGCATTTTGTCTAATTCTTTGTTCAAAACACCAAGAACCTGGATGACTTGTAGTCAAGACCCTGCACTGGTAACACTTGCACATTTCTTATTTAGTTAATTCCAATGTATTTTTTTATTGTTAATTTAATGCCTTTTAAAACTCCACTATTTTGTAAATACAAAAAATGTTTTGGGAAAGCTTTACTTGTATTATCTTCTAGAAAATAATTTCC